TAACAGGGTCAGAGCAGAAAAAAATGAAAGAGGCTAAGAAGACAATAGAAAAGATCAATGAAACCAAGAACTGATTCTTTGAAAAGGCAAACAAAGTTGACAAATCTTTAGCCAGATTCACCAACAAAGAAGGAGGACTCAAACAAAATCAGAAAGAGGAGATGTTACAACTGATACCACAAAATACAAAGGATAAGGAACTACTACAAAGAATTATAAACCAAAAAATTAGACAACCTAGAAGAAATGGATAAATTCCTAGAAAACTACAACAATCCAAGGCTGAATTATGAATAGAAAATCTAAATAGACAGATTAGAGGTAAGGAGGTTGAATCAGTAATAAAAGGCCTTCAAACAACCAGAAATCCAGGTCCAAACAAAAATTAGCTGCACCAAATTCTACCAAACATTCAAAGAAAAATCACTACCAAACCTTCTAAAAAATCTTCCAAAAAATAGAAGAGGAGAGAACACTTCTAAACTTATTTCACAAGACTAGCATTACCCTGATACCAAAACCAGATAAGGATGCCACAAGAAAAGAAAATTACAGGTCAATATTCCTGATGAACATGATGCCATATTCCTCAACAAAATATTAGCAAACATGAACTCAACATAAAGAAGGATCATACACCATGATCAAGTGGGATTTATTCCAGGGATGTGAGGATGGTTCAATATCCATAAATCAATGTCATACACCATATTACCAAAATGAATGGTAAAAATCATATGATCATCCCAACAGATACAAGAAAAGCATTTGACAAAATTCAACATCCATTTTTGATAAAGACTCTCAACAAAGTGAGTATAGAGGGAACATACCTCAATGTTACATATATAGTCACATATATATATGACATAGCCCAGGGCTAATACCATAGTTAACGATGTAAAGCTAAAACCTTTCCTGCTAAGATTAGGGACAAGACAGAATGCTCATTCTTGCTAGTTTTATTCAACATAGTACTGGAAGTCCTAGCTAGAGCAATTAGGCAAGAAAAAGAAATGAAACACATCCAAATGAAAAGGAAGAAGTAAAACTTTCACTAATTGCAAATAACATGATACACAGAAAACCCTACAGACTGCCAAAAAAGAAAAAAAACTGTTAGAACTAATAAATGAATACATTAATGTTGCAGTATACAAAATCAGTACATAGAAACTGCTGCATTTCTATACACTAATAATTAACTATAAGAAAGAGAAATTAAGAAAACAATTCTATTTACAACTGCATCAAAAAGAATAAAATACCAAGGAGGTAAAAGGCTGTACAATAAAAACTGCAAGACACTCATGAAAGAAACTGAAGAAGACACAAAAAGAAAGTTATTCTGTGGCCCATGGATTGGAGGAATTAATATTGTTAAAATGTTCATGCTACCCAAAGCAATCTACCAATTCAATGCAATTTCTATCAAAAGTCCAATGGCATTTTTCAGGGAAATAGAACAATCTTAAATTTTATATGGAACCACTGAAGACCCCAAATAGCCAAAGCAATCTTGAGAAATAACAAAGCAGGAGGCATCACACTCCCTGATTTCAAACTATACAAGACTTCTCTTTGTTTTGTGCATTTGTTTTGTATATACTTTAAAATGCTTTGTTTTGTATATTTGACTTTCCAAAGATGTAAATGTTTTATATAATTATAAAACAAAATTAAAACCAATGTTAAAAGTCATACATAAAAATAAAAAGCAAAAGTAAAACAAATGAATCTAATAATATATCATATTTGTGGCTTAACCGTACAGAGAGAAATTAGTTCTAGCTACTTTTAGGCACAATAATTGCGCTATACTTCCCAAGGACAAATGAATCCATAAAGAAGTATTAAATTATTTGCAGTTGGAATATTGTAAGTACTGATAATATTCCTCTGAATTATCTTATTTATGTACACATATGTAGATCTATAGATAGATGGATAGGTGAAGAAATAAAAGATACAAAAATAAAACCAAAGTAAAAACTCCTTATAAAATTTTAAATTAGAAATAGCAATACGAACTCATGAGGCCTACTTTGTTAAGAATGTATTTCCTGCTACAACATTAATAAACACTGAAAACATGCCAAGTGAAAGAAGTCAGTCACAAAAGACTACATATTGTCCAATTTCATTACTATGAAATATCTGAAGAGACAAGTTTATAGAGACAGAAAGCAGATTAGTGGTTGATTAGACTGGGAGGAGGCAGGAGAATATGTTGACTGCTAAAGGGAATGATAATTATTTCAGGGAGGACAAAAATGATCCAAAATTACACTATGGTGATGGGTGTACAACCTTGTGAATATATTTTTTAAGAAAACATTAAATTGTATATTTTAAAGGGTAAAATGGATGGTATGTGAATTAAGCTGTTAAAACAATTTTAAAAATGTATTTCCTAGCTCTGTCCACCAAAAAAAAAAAAAAAAGCCTAGAAACAATGATCATGTCAGTAGCAAGAAACATCGTAACTGTGGTCTCACAATACCATTACCCAATAAAGGGTACCACACACAAATGCCTGATTCCATAACTAGGGAAGGAAACATTCAAAATGATCTTCGAACAAAACCGTCGCACAGAAGTGTAAGACATTATCAAAGACTTCTGAAGATGTATTAAAAGGACTTAGAAGCCGCCTTGAAAAGACAGTCAAAGATGGGAAAATTTGAGCTTCAAAAAGAAAATAACCACAATGTTTTGAAACATATCAGATATGCTAAAAGCAATGAGTATGTTTAATAGCAAGATGATTAACTCACTGGGAGATCCTAGGGAACCAATTCAATAGCCTGAAAACCTATAAAGGGAAAGAATCAATTTATTCTGCCTTTCCTGTACAGACTGTACCTCTGGGTAACCAGAGTGGATGAAAGAAATTTTTTCTTTAGGAAAATATGCCAGCTAGTAAATGAAGAAGGAATGATAGAATTCGAATATCACCATTTTGTAACCCCTACTGAAATACAAGATGACAATCTTCCATGTTTTCTAAAACAAGTATGGTGGTAAAAAGAGAAACTGTTCTATTTTGAACATTTGGCAACTGAAGGGAAAAATATCCTTCTATCTCTCTGCTTTACTTCCTCTAGTAGTTCAATCCAACAATCATTCAACACCATCGGGAACTTCCACTCCTTCGTTCTACCAATTATTCATTGCCCCTCACCCCCTTCCTATCCTTACTTTTCTACTTACTTGGCCTGGAATTCATGGTCAATCAGTACAATTAATTCTTGCTAACTTAGACTTCCTTGCCTCTCTCTCACATTGTTCTGAGTTCATGAGACAAATACTCTGGTTAAACCTAACTCTCCCCTACCCTTTCTGTGGCTACAACCATACAGATGAACACTGCAGGAGAAAATTTTTAAACCACGTAGAATAGGCTCACTTTAAATTCACAAAAACTAACGTCAAGTAGGTCTTCAATGCTGCCTGGAAATCACATTATATTTCTCTACTCTATTCTCTGTCCCATTCTCCTAAGTGATTATTTTATTCTTTTGCTCTCTTAACATTTGCTCTGGCTACAAGTCTATAGCATTTCTCCCCTTTCTCTTCTGCTTCATCAAGTTTCTCTCTCTGTTGAACCATTTCAATCAGTTTATCAACAGAGTTATGATGTACCTCTTAACTTCATCTACTACTCTATTTCACTCCTTCCATTTAGGGAAAAACTTAGAGTTGTCTATACTTATTATCACAAATTCTTCTTCCCCAGTTCTCTCTTTAGACCCATACCCCACTGAAACTGCTCTTCAGGGTCGCCAACCAATTTTCAGGTTGCTAAATTCAATGTTCCTTTCTCAGTCTTCTTTTACTTGGCTGATCAGCAGCATCTGACACAGTTCTCATTAAAACACATTCTTCCCTTGGTTTCCAGGATATCATACTCACCTAGTTTCCTTCCAACCACTCTAGCTAGTCCCTTTCAGTCTCTTTTGCTGGTTCCTCCTCACTTCCCAGACCTCATGTTGAAGTGACCCAGAGATAAGTCCTTTACCTCTACCATTTGCCATCTTCCCTACCCTCTAAGTGATCTCATCTGGTCTACTGGCTTTAAATATCATCTATATTCTGCTAATTTCCAAATGTATGTCTCCAACCTAGGTCTCAGATCTTTCTTTTGAATTTCAGACTTGTATATCCCACTGCCAACTTCGTTTTTCCACCTGAATGTCTAATGGGCATCTCATATTTCACATACGATATTTCAAACTGAAATCTCACTATCTCTCTATGCCCCAAGTCAGTTTTCCCCACTTTCCCTTCTCAGTTAATAACTCCATTCTTCAAGTTGCTCAGATTAAAAAATAATGTGCCACCTTGTCACACTTACACTCCACATCAGCTATCAGCAAATTATATCAGCTCCAACTTTAGATTATATCCAGTACATGAATACTTCTCACCACTTTTACTACTCTGGTCCAGGTCACCAAAACCTTTTCCTCAAATTATCGCAATAGTTTCCTAATTGGTCTCTCTGCCTCTGCCCTTGTCCCGGCCCTCTTCCACTATTCTTCCCGTAATCCTCTAATCAGAGCACAGAAAGCCTCTTAAACTGTAAGCAGATAGTATCGTTCACATGTTTGAAACTCTACAACAGCTTCCCTTCTCATTCAGGGTAAAAGCCAAGATCATTAATATGACCCCTAAGGCCCAATGTGATCTGCTCTTCCGTCCACTTATCTTTCTTCTTCCATCTCTCACCACTCCCCCTCTCATCTGTTCTATTTCAGTGACACCAGCCTCTTCATAATAGGCACATTCCCACCTCAGGGCCTTTATAACAGTTGCTCACTCTTCCCTCAATTATGTGTTACTATCTCCTTCACTTCCTTCATATGTTATGTTTTCAGGTTGCCTTCCCTAGCAACTCCATCTAAAACTCCAGCTCTCATCCCTGATTTTGTATGTCATCCTGCTTTACTTCTTCTCTTAAAATTTTTCACTATTTAATGTATATTTAATTTACTTACCTCATTTATTATCTGGCCCACAACAATGTAAGTACCATGACAGCAGAGAGTTTGTCTTTCTTGCCCAATGTTATATCCCAAGCATCTATAATTATTCCTGTCACGGTGGTGAGTGGATAAATGAATAAATCCTTAATACCCAAAGAACCTGGAAAAGAAATTTGAAAACAGAACACTGCTTTAGAAAAATACTTTAGAAAACGTATAATTCTTAAAAAAAGATTTTTTAAATGCTTGACTTCAGTAGTAATCAAACAAATACAAATTAAGGAAATTATTTTACATCTGTGAGGTTAACAAAGATTACTAATATTAATGATAACCATTGTTATCAAAGGTGTCTGAATATAGGCAATCTTATACTACACCAATAATACTATAGATCATTGGAAACTTATAGGAGAATAATTGGATAGACGTAGGGCAACTTTTAATAAGTATATACAGATTTGGGTCTTTGTGTTCGGTGGCTCCTCAAAGTGAGAAAACTCAGGAACTCAGAGGCCGTGAGCTGGAGGATTGGTGGTGGGGATGGGAGCAGGTGAGGTGAAGGAGAATGGGCCAGAGCTGTGGCTTCTCCTTCCCCTTTCTTCTGAGGCAAATCTTAGTTATGCAAAGTAAAGTTTAGCTGCCATAAGCAGGAGGTCTTAATCAAAGGTTAATGGGGGGGGGGATGTTGAGCAGTTTTGAGTGAAGAGATGACTCCTTTAGGCCTTTTGGGGAGAATTTTCCTCCTCTATCCCCACCTCTGCCCCCACCCTCTAAAAGCTTCCAGATAGCGTCTCCTGGAAGAGAGGGGAGTTTTACCCAAATCTTAAGTGATTCTACACCTGAAAGGAAAGGGGTGGTGTTTGTGGTAAGAGAGGAGGCTGGGTGGGGGGGTTGTGGTGGAATAACCATCCTCCTACCCTCAACACAACCACACTTCCCTCACCTGATTGGGGGTGGGTGGTGATGGCTGGCAGGGTTCCAGCTAGTTTAGAAAGGTTTTCTCCTTTTTTCCCCCTTCTAGGATTTTAAGTTTGAGAGGGGGTTTTGGGGAGAAAAGGGGGAATTTGCATGTAAATCTCCTGGGCCTGGTCCTGGATGAAGGATCAATTATTTCTATAGTCTCTCGGAGGCGGGAGGGGGACTTAAAAAGAAGAAATAAATTTGAGTTTAGAAAACTCCTTTGCTTCTCAGTATGGGCCAAATCCTCCAGCCTGGTGAGCTGTTTCCTGATCCGATCAAGAAAATGATTGCTTTAAAAACAAAAACAGAACAACAAGAAATAAGCATATACATTTTGACCTATCAATTCCAGTTTTAAGACCCTACCCCTCCCCTCCTCAAATTAAGAAAGTGCCTTACAACATGTGCCAAATAGCTGCTAATAAACACATTCTTCATAATAGCAAGAAACTGAAAAGAACCAAATTACCGATCAATAGGGGTAAATGCACTAAGTGTATGCCATAAAAAACTTTAAAATGATGGCGTAGATTTATAATTGTTTAAATGTAAAGATATTAATTGTGTACTGTTAAATGACATAGGTAGGTTACAGTTCTGTACGTATAGTGTGATTCCAATTTTTAAGCTACTATGCATATATAATAAATGAATGCATATGTATGTATTCACAGAAGGAGGGGGAAAAGATGGTAAATGAATTTTGACAGTGGCTGGTAGAAGTATGAATGATTTTTGTTTTCTAGGGGCATTTCTGTGATTTGGGGCGGGGAGTGGGGGGAGGCAGGGAGCATGAAATTAGTAAGCACACAAAGTGGCCGATACACGAAAATAAAACTTGAAATAAATAAATGCTAAAACAAAGTTTTGGAGCTATTGTCTCATATAAAAACATATTTCCGATTACCGTAACTGCAGAAATGAAGCACTGATACAAACTGGTATCGCAAAGCTACACACACCACCGAACTCTACCTTTCATCCTCGGAGTTTCTCACTCACTACAGTCACACACGTTCGCAACCACGTTCACTGCGACAGAGAAGGAAAAAGCAAAGCCACAAAATTCGCTTACCCACAGAATTCCACGGCCACACTCGGTCACAGGCAAGTGTCTGGCAAATAAGGTACTACCTAGCCACACGCTCACAGTCCTTCACACGCTGCTCCCGCGGCCTCAGGGAACCACCCGCACCGGCAAAGCCGTGCCCGGCGTCCTCCTCCAGCCACACAGGCACGGGGTCCGCAGGCCCCTACTCCACCCAGCACAAAGAGTCCCGGACTCCGAGCTCGCCGCGTCCCGAGGACTCACCACCGAGCCCGCGGACACAGGCCCCTGTCCCACACCTCAACGCCGCCCAGGTGGCACCGGCGGTGCCGCCCGAGGTGAGGGGGCCACTGAGGTCAGCGCCCGCTGTGGCGAGGGCAGCACGAGCCTTGGTCCGTTAGGCGCAGGATAACACTTCCCAGAGGCCCCCGCGGCTCGCCGGGGTGGGGCTGGCCTTCCTGTGGGCGGGGAGTGGGAACCGCCAGCCGCGGCGTCCGGGCGTTCGGGTTCGCTGAGGGGGCTCAGCTGAGCATTTTCCCGCAGCTGCCTTTCGTTAAGTGCAGCACTCGGACCCTACGAATGCTACCTGGTGCTGAGAAGACTCTGAAAAGGTCCGCCGCTTTCCTGCTCCGGACTACATTTCCCAGAGGCCTTAACGGCCCAAATTTATTTTCTGCAAAAAGTCGCTTCCTCCTTACAGTTGGCTGGATTTTCGGGTTCTCAACGTTAAGGTGCCTGGTCAGGGAAGGAAGTGCCGCTGTATCGGTTTAGTTCGGTCTGGTCCCGGTTCCACCCGGGACTGGACTTCAGTGGGATGAAGATGGAGAAAGATCAGGCACCGGGGCGAGACGAGATGGGCCAGCCCGAGCCTCAGGTCGTTAAAGGGAGGGGTGCCGTTGCGTGAGCGCGTGGGGGAGAGTTCAGCCGTGGAATCTGGGGAGCCTCCGGGGTCGTGAGACTCTGAGGTCCACTGACTTTGGGGTCGTGCGAATTTGCGACCGTTTGTGTTAGCATCGTCGCGTCCTCTGTTCTAGTGACCTCTTGTTTCTGACCCTGCAGTTTTCCCAGTGTGCTTGTGTCCATTCTTTGTAGATGTTTCTGCTTTTCTAGCGGACACCTGTTGCAATATTGAAACTTAACAGGTTAAATCAATAAACCAGACTCACCAAAATATGAAATGGAAAAAAATTAGAGATTTGTGAGTGTGTATTACTGGAAGCACCCATGCTTTTTTTTAACACTGTTACTCCACGTTCGGTGTGTGCTACACGGACAAAGGTGATACAGGTAATTTAGAAAGATGTTGTTGAAGAAGGCAAAGACATTGAGCCATGAAATGAAAGTTTATGTCAATAATTCAAATAGCCCCGACGTCAAGAGGGAAAAGTGGAAGGGGAAAAGTAGAGAAGGAACCAGGAACAAAAACCTAAGAATCACACCTGCCCCAAAGACCTGATAATTATTTTGAGCATTTCATGTGAGTTCTGCTCTGACTTAAGAAGAATCAAAAAATAATTCACAATGAAAGTCGAAGACTCACTGCAATAATTTTGCAATAGAGACCAACATGGAGAAAATATCTATGAAAACACTATTCTGTGCTTTTGTGCTATGGTATGTTAACAGAACAAAATACTGCAGACTACAGCATGCTAAACATCAGGAACTTACAGTCGTTGAAGGTATCAGAGAGGCTTCTGGCTCATAAACTTACCAGGAAGGTATACTAAGCCCATAGGACTGTTATCTCTAGGAAGCAGTAGAAGACAGTCTTCCTTTCTCACTAGATGATAATGGGCACTGTTTCAGAGTAGTGTGAATCTGTTTCTGGGAAGGGAAAAGGGGCTCCCAAACACTGCATAGAGAGAACATATCCTATAAATAAATTTTGCTTAGTCTTACATGTCTTTACCAACAATCCTTTTTTTTCTGTCTACTATAAGAATTATTTTTTTGCTAATTATTTTGTTAAGAGGTGAGAAGAGAACAGAGTTGGTTGTTCTATGTCCATCCAGCTTCCTGATTTCCTTTTTGATACTTGTAGATTTGTCTATTTCTGCTTTTATTTCTGTTAAGCTTTGCTTTATATATTTTAAAGTGCTCTTATGATACATATTTAGAGTTGTAATAGTTTCCTGTTGGATTGATCCAATAGGAAATTATGGAATTTACTTTTTATTTATAATACTGCTTTTTGTCTCAATCTGTTTTTTTTCTGGATTAAGTTTTTTTGTATGTATATATTTTTTATTCAAGTATAGTCAGCTTACATGTCTTAATCTGTTTTGATATTACTATAGCTTCACCATCCTTCTTTTGGCTAGTGCATACTATTTTTTTCTACCTTTTTGCTTTTAATCTGTTTTATTTTTAAAGTCTCTTATTAAACAGTATTATTTTTAAAATAAATAATGACAATCTTACTCATTAATTTGACATATTTAGTGAATTTACATTTAATGTAGTTGGGTTTCGGTCTACCACCTTAGAATTTATTTTCTTTTGGGCCTACCTTTTTCAAATTTTTAACTTCTTATTTTGAAGTAATTCTGGATTCTCATGCAGTTACAAGAAATAATTCAAAGCGATCCCATGTACCCTTTATCCAATTTCCTCCAATGGTAATATCTTGCAATACTCTATACAGCGTCACAACTTTGCCATCGATACTTTCAGGATATTTCCATCATCACAAGACTCCTTCATGTTGTCCTTTTACAGCCACATCTACTTCCCTTCTTCCTTCAACCCCCTCCTTAAGACCTGGCAGCCCTAATCTGTTCTCCATTTCCATAATTTTACCTTTCAAGAATGTTATGTAAATGGAATTATAAAGTATGTAACTGGGGTATTAACTTTTTGACTCAGCATAATCCCCTGGAGATTCATACATGTTGTTACATGTGTAAGTAATTCATTCCTTTTGTTGCTGAGTAGAATTCCATGAGGATATAACACGGTTTGTTTAGCCATTCACTAATTGAAGGACATATGGGTTGTTTCCAACTTTTGGCTGTTGTAACTAAAGCTACTATGTACATTCATAGACATTCGTGTGTGTGTGAAAATAAAATTTCATTTCAAAGAGTTTTAGAAGGAATTTGTCCATTTATTTTTTTCAAAAAAACCTATCTGGAATTTTCACTGAGATTGTACTGACTATATAGATCAATTGAGGACAGTTGAATCTTTAAAATAGTGAATCTCATAATTGTGAGGCACAATATATATCTTCATTTATTTAGATCTTCTTTAATTCCTCTCAGCAATATTTTATAGTTTGTAATGTACAAGTAATGAAATCTTTTGTCAGATTTACCCCTAAGTATTTCAGAGTTTTTGATGCATTGTAAATGGTACTTTTTAAAATTTCAATTTCTAATTGTTCATTGCCAGTATATAAGAAATACAATAGATTTTTGTACCTTGTAGTCTGTTGCCTTGCTGAACTCACCTAGTATTTCTACTACAGTTGTGGAGGTTCCATTGGATGGTCTATATAGATGATTATGTCATCTGTGAAAAAAGACAGTGGCATCTATTCCTATTATGACCTGCAGGTACAGGATGGACCTTCACCCAAAATTTGGTTGGGGAGTGGAGACTGATGAGGCCACACACACACACACACACACCAAGAGGGTATGAAAAGTTTCACTGCTCATACAGTGAAGCTTTCTAGGAAATGCAAGGCAGTATTCCCAAGAAAGTCCGCAAATGGTTTGCAAGAGCAAGGAAAGGAAACTGGTGTGCAGTTTTTATGGCAGATTCTTTGTGGTTTAAATCTCCTGTAGACTAGTTTAAATCTTTTGCTTATGTCAAAAGAGAGCGCCTGAGCTTGCCCAGATTGAGGGCACAATAGAAAGAAGGCATGAAGGTCAAAGCTATGAGCAGCTTCCTCTGCGGCTTCTAAGGCTGCTTGTGTGCATGTCTGGTGAGGATCTGGTGGTTCAGCCACTGGGAAGACCCCAGAGATTGCCATGGCTGACAAATAGACCAAGGAAGTAGTCAAGACAGAGAACCACGGTCATATTAATTTGAAGGTGGCAGGACAGGGTGGTTCTGTGGTGCAGTTTAAGCGTAAGAGGCACACACCACTTAGTACAAATGAAAGCCTACTGGGAACAATAGGGTTTGTCAAGTAGGCAAATCAAAATCCAATATGATGAGCAGCCAATCAACAAAACAGACTCACCTACACAGAAATGGAGGATGGAGATAGAACTGATGTGTTCCAGTAGCAGAAAAGAGGTTTCTACCAAAAAAGAAACCTGCCATTTTACTCCCAAACTCTGATCCTACAGACAAAGAGGATATTCTCAATTAGAAGAATGCAATTTGGTCCACCGCATCCTGACTGCTACAATACAGTTATCTTTCCTCTTCCCCATTCCTTTATTATACATAAAGTAACTGGTGTATGCACAAGCATATTGCTTTTTTAAAAATTATGGTATGTTTTTGTTAGAGCAGGCAGATAGCTAGATATGAGCAGAGAAAGGGGGACACAGACCAACTGGCTGGAATTAGGCAGAAAGGAGGGGCACAGGCCAAATGCAGGAAACCACACATCATGTGAGCAGCAGGGATCCTTGGGCAGAGAAAGAAAAGCTGGAATCTTTGGGCTGATAAGGGACCACACCTTTTGGCCTGGAGACCAACAAAGAAAGGTCAGAAAAGGCAGGAATTTCCAGTGTCCGAATGTAAACTTTTACTCATTATGCCCTCATTTCAATAAAATTAGCCTTCCAG